ACATCATAAAAGGTCTCTTCTAATTTCAAGGGGTTGTAGCATGCTCGATAAAAATTTTTGAATCGAGATATTTGGAGATAGTGAGAGTATGTACCTTTCTTCGCCTTCGATTTGTCCTGCAACACGAGAGAAGAACGAGCAGTCAATTTTGATTGGACTATGTCAAAATTAGAATGAATATTTGAAAACCAATCGGTCCACCACTGAGAAAAACCAAGAGTAGATAAATAATTCGATTCAAAAGTATAAGGGTAAAAATGCATCGGGTTTTTTGGCAACAGTTTGGCAAGCTCCCGTCCAACAGTTGATTCACTTAATTTGGACCTTGAGGAGGTATCGAGGGGGAAAAAGGGTAAAACTTGACTTAAACCAAACTGCCGCGAGAAGAGCTGGGGATAATAAGTGACGAGTTGAAGATCTTTCGACTGAAAACCCGATACCAGAACATCTTGGGTTAGGTAATTGCTCCACACTTCGACCAATTCTGATTGTAACCCAGGAGTAAGAGCAGAGAATTTTGACTTAAACAATGTCGGCCCTCGAAGCTTGTCACTTACTTTCCCTTGATATACGGTAAAGGGGGCCAAGTTTGACTCAAAATGAAATCGAGTTAACAAAAATCTTAGGTAATTGCGATAACTAGCCTCGTCGGGTTTGTGGTGAGGATGTCGAGAGGACAATTGAGCACCTTCCAAATTTAAACTTGGAGGAATGTTGGAGGTTGGAGGGAGGATACTTTCCAAAATTGAGGTAAGCCATAATTGAATGAACCAAATGGAACCTGAAAAATTTCCTGAGGCCCTGGGGGTATTCAAAATATCGACAGCTTCATCAAAAGAAGTATAAACATGGGTCAATAACAACTTTGCTAAACAAATCTGTGGTTGGCCAGTGTGGAGGAGATAGGCAAGATTATAAAGGTGGGACGAGATCTCGATGGATCGAGGGCAAAAGACGTGGGTGCAAAGCCAATATACCAGGAAGGCCACATGTTCTTCATCAGAAACAGCTACTGTTTGATCGTCGACAAAATGTTTTTTGAGAAAATGTCCATATGCCTTCGATTCCCAATCGATTTTTGACCTTAAAGAATTATCCGAAGGGAAAGCGCCCTTATAGTATTTCTCCCCTGTGGGCTTTAATCCAGTAATTGCAGCGATTTCAAAAAGGATGGGTGAAAGGGGACCACAAGGAAGTTCCAGTGCATGTAAATCCTTATTCCACAGATGGACAGCAGATAAAAACATGGTCATATCTAAGAACGACATATCACATCGAGACAGATGTAGGAAATTGAAGATCCCTACATCTCTCCAATGGGTCCCAAACTTAGTTTTAACTCGATCAAATCACCTAATGTACAAGGGTTTTTTCTGGGGAGGGCCTGTTCGATATACTTTGGAGACAATATTCAGAAAATCAATTCGAACCTCAGACCGATGAATAAGAGTCTTACTCACTGAAGAAAGGCTGAGGGAAGAAGAAAACGATCCGCCACAGTAGCGGATAGGACCACCAAACGCATAATTTACATTATTAGCGACATAAGGGATAAGTACTTGGGTCTCGGCAATCCTTTGTGAGGCTTCTTCCATCAAAGGAACCAGAGCAAACTTCTTCCCATTCATCTCTATTAGGTTGGAGGTCACCGAGGAAAGTGGTGGGGCGGAGAAATCAGAGGATTTTGAGGTTGCCATTTCAGCCGGTAGAGAAGAGGAAGACGAAAGGTTGAAGATGAAGAAGTGCAACGAAGGAGAAATAAGGTTCGTGGTAAAAAACAAGGGTAAAAATTGATAAAAGTATTTAAAGAAGCCGGCTAGGGTATTTGAAACGGCGAATGTAAAGCGGGTAATTAAAAGTGTGGCAGCAGAGGTGATGTGATAGGTGACATAAAAAAGAAAAACCCTAAAACCCCAGAAACCCTAAAACCCCGGAAACCCTAAACCTTAAGGAGTTATTTCGAGTTTCAAGAACGATTAAGGGCGGGAGTCATATTCTGGAAGAATATAAAAAATTGATACAAATACTTATATACTTCCAGGGGGGCATTTGTTAGTAAAGAAAAACCGATACCAGGATCGATAAACAAGAAAGAGGAAGATCGAAGATCATATGGTTGGTTAAAAAATTGATAAGAGACAGGTAAAAGACACCTGGTAACCACAAGATAAAAACACATCGAGAATCAGAATCGAGAATCGAAGGAAGAATATTCGATGTCTATTGTTGAAGAGAATCGAGAAATTAGAATAGTGTAAAGTTAAAATTAAAGGGAATCAAAAGCAATTCAAAGTACTCGATGTCTGAAATCGAGATCGATGGAACGATTAACACGCACATAGAACATGGGAAGCAGTTTCTAAACCGAGGCAGAGATTGAAGATCAAGGGAGCAGTTATCTCATGCATGGGAACGTGGAATGCAGTTTTCTAAACCATAGAACTAAGGGACGTGCATGATGGATCGTGGTGGTAGTTTTGTTAACTGCTCTTAGGAGGTTATTTGAAGGGCGCTCTATAAATAGAGCGAAGCTTGAGGAAGAGGGGGAAATTGGTAGAGACAACAGAAGCGCAAGTGAACAGTCTACAAGAGAACGACGCATCATGAAGTTTCTAATGCTCTAGATTTCTGTTTTCATTGATTATCTGTATCGCTTTCTTTACTTTCCCTGGTAATTTACTTTCATGCAATTTACGTCTATCAATTTTAAGTTTTTGCCCTTTCACTTCCTTGTCATTTACTTTTATGCAAGTTGAAGTTATTCGTTTAAGATCTTCACCATTTATATTTCTGCAATTTCGATTTCCTGCTATTTACATTTCCATAATTTCGATTCCTTGCCATTTAAACTTAATGCAAATTTGAGGTTTCCGCATTTTACATTTTTCTGCAATTTAATATTTTGCATTGTTTTTCGATTCGACACTTTTATTGCTTTCTTTACTTCGAGTTTCTTAATAAAAAATACCAAAAATAGTACTTTCGATTATCAAAGCTATACTCTAGGTAGTGTCATTTGCATTTCTTGAGATTACATGATTCTCGATTCTCATGCATTTTTCGATTGAAAACTTGCTAACCTAAATAAAAAGAATCTACATAGTTAAGATTTGATTAGAGCTTAAGTCTCGATTTAATCAAAATCGATCAAATTTTCACCATAAACAGTTGTGTTTTTCCTAATCTTAGAGTGTTAGTTTAGTTTTTTTTCTTCATTTTATCTCATTTGATGCCTAATTGTCGATTTGTGTTCTGTCTTGTTTGATTTATTTTCTTCGATTTACTTTATTGTTTTGTTTTTACTATTTTTCTTTGATTGATTGTTTCTTAGTTTTATTTGATTTATTATTTCCCTCGGTATATAGATTTCTTTGATTTATTGTCTCTTTCTATTGTATGTTCCTTCAATTCTCTGCATTCGTTGAGTTTTTATTTTTCTTTGTTTTCTTTGATTTTGATGGATTATTTTGTCGATAGTTTTCTTATACTACTTTATTCTCAAATATTTCTTTGATTTTAATTTAATTGCTCTATATCATTTTTTTCAATTACTCGATTTACTTTGAACATTGATTCTTGATTTATTGATTGATATTTTCTATTCATGGAGAATTAATACCCTCCATTTTCCTTCATTTGATAGTTCAATTTTCACTCTCTTAATGGTCTGATTTTTCTATCTTTCATTATTCGATTTTTTGTTTATATCTTGATTTTGTTTTCCTTATTTGCATCAACTAGTATTTTCAATATTTATATTCATTCTTCTTAATTTTCTACGTTTAATATCAAACTATCTCGATTCATTGCAAACAATAACCTCAGTACAATAGTCTTCCTTAAACTTAAATAAATTGACCATCGTACTACATGCAGGTAATAAAGAGGAAACTTCATTTTTCTTACTAGCGACAAGAGTGAAACATGCATGCTTAGTCAGATCTTAATATGTTTCGTGCATTCTACAAATCTCGACATGAGTTGATTTGTTTATATCTAATTAGCACTTTTTTCCCCTTTAAATTTTTGTAAAAAATAATGATGTTTTTAAAGGTTCAAGTTATATATTTTAATCCTGTTATTTCACTTGTTTTGTGTTAAATAAGTTTTCTTGATTTACTCAATATATGAAAATATTATAAATTATTTATTTGATTCATGTAAGCAACAAATTTTAAATTACTGAATTATATCCATAAATAAAAAATATACAATAAGAAAAAATATTAGATTAAATTTATTATTAACATTTAATAAAAAAATTGACTTCATTATACTTTTGGTTCTTACAATTTAGAAAATAAATATATACATTTTTTATATCTAATTACAAAATTAATTTTAGAAATTAAAACCCTATTTTGTCTAAAATAAAAATTAATTTTTGAGAAATAAAAATTTGGAATCACCTAAAATTTTTAAAGCTAAATCATAATGAAACATAAAGTTTTAAATAAATTTATAATTATACTAATATCTGTATTAAGTTTATTACTTTCTTAAAAGAATGATTTGATAAAGAAGTTGGACTCAAGTACTTAATATGTTCAAACCTTGACACTATTTGAGTTCAATCCTTTCTTATAACAATAACTATTGATTAAGTTTTATTTACTTTTTGAATCGAGTGAAATTAATCAAAGACAAAACCTATCATACCCATGACAAAAAAAAAAAGTTGCGTTTTTTATTATAATAGATTTTTAGCTTTTAGTTACTTAAAGAAAAATAATGGCAAGCATGTAAAAGTTAATATGATAGTTTGGTGAAGAAAAAAACTCTAAATTGTAATAAATAAAATCTGAATTATTAGGTTGACATTGATAAAATAAAAATACAAAAAGTAAAGGTGTAAGAAAATTGAAATGAATAGTGGGCTAGTCGTGAAAGAAGGTAATGGGCTGTAGTGGGGGCCCAAAGCACAAGAGGGAGGGAACAGTATAATAATCTCGAGATGCATATGCGGTGGTAACTATCATCGTAAGTGAGTGTTGTTGGTGATGGATCGAGAATGGGGATCGAAGCCCGGGAGCGGAGGCGCGGCGTCGGCGCAGAACGAAGCCATCGACCGGCGAGAGCGTCTCCGGCGACTGGCTCTGGAGACGATAGACCTGGCGAAGGACCCCTATTTCATGCGGAACCACCTCGGGAGCTACGAGTGTAAACTGTGTCTCACTCTCCACAACAACGAGGGCAACTACCTGGCCCACACTCAGGGCAAGCGCCACCAGACCAACTTGGCCAAACGTGCGGCTCGCGAGGCCAAGGACGCCCCCGCCCAGCCCCAACCCCACAAGCGCAAAGTCACCCTTCGCAAAACAGGTTCTCTTTTCTCTATTTCCCTCTTTTACCCCTTTCACCGTTCACTAAATTTAACAAACATTTCGTGTGCCTTTTTTTGCAGTTAAGATTGGACGCCCTGGGTACCGTGTGACCAAGCAGTATGACCCTGAGACCAAGCAAAGATCTCTCCTGTTCCAGGTTCTTTTTTATTTAGCATAATTAAGACTCTTTTTTAACATTGTGGATTAAATAATAATATTATATGTGTTTTCAATTCTGTGTTTATGTAGATTGAATATCCTGAGATTGAAGACCTCACCAAGCCGAGGCACCGGTTTATGTCCTCCTACGAACAGGTGGACTCTGGTGATTTTGTTCAATTACCTTTCTCTCCAATTGTTGTCAATTAATTTGCTTGTGTTCTTATATTTCCATTTTTCTCGTTGTTCGTGTTTTGATGGTTACAGAGGGTGCAACCCTTCGATAAAAGGTATCAGTACCTTCTGTTTGCGGCTGAACCGTATGAAATAGTTGCATTCAAGGTATTTTCTTACTTTTGTTTGTATATTTGTTTTGGTCTTCCTTTTCACTTTGGTTTTGGCTATATTTTTTTGTTTTAGTTATGGGAATTTTCCCTTAGGGGGCTCACTAAGCTACATTTTCAGGTGCCTAGCACAGAGATTGATAAGTCCACTCCAAAGTTTTTCTCGCACTGGGATCCAGACTCAAAGATGTTCACGGTTAGTTCACCTACTCCTCTTGACTGTCTGTGATGGTAGACTTGATCTATCTTTAATTTTACAACAAAAGGGGCAATAAAACCCCATACACGATGATTAGCTGTAGACTTGTGCACGCCAATGAAGGACTACGCACTGATCCAAGAGCATGCAAATTTGAACATGCATTTGATAAAAAAAAAATGTTGTGGTGCTACATTTGGAAGGCCTTGTTATTTGATAAATGTTTGTTTTAAAGAAATAAAAATTAGCTTTTAGTGCTCTTGCTTTATTAAAACCTGTTAATAACCTTTGATTAAGTATGCATACACTTTGTCCTTAGACATCCTAACTAGAGACTGGTTCAAGAGAATCCAAGTCATTTCATTTTATTTGTTTGTGCTTGTAACTATCAATACAAGCTAATTATTCAAGCATTCAGCAGCAGCAGAACTAGGTTGGGAATTTCTTGTCTTCTTTCTTGCTTTCTTTCCTTAATGCTTTTTTGTTTATGTGGTGTATTGTTGATTTGAAATTTCTCGTCTGCAGTTGCAATTATATTTTAAAACCAAGCCACCAGAGACAAACAAACCACAGCCTGCCTCTACAGCCAATGGCACAGCAGCATCTGGTGTTCCACCAAGGCCTTTGCCCCCACCACCCCAAGCTCCACTACCACCACCTCCACCTCCTCCACAAGGGCTACCTCCTGGTGCACCTATGGCAAATCCTCCTAGAGCTCCTCCACCTCCAATGCCAGGATCTATGCCACCTCCTCCTCCTATGGCAGCAACTAATGGTCCTAGACCTGCTCCTTCTGGTGGAATGCCATCAGTCCCACCCCCACCCCCTATTGCAAGTGGGGCATCTGGTTTCAACATGGGTACTAGACCTCCATCGATGCCTCCTCCACAAGGTTTTCCTGCTCAACCAATGCAGAGTCAGGGTGTCCGTCTTCCTCCACCACCCCCTAACATGGGACAGTAGGTTCCCGGGCTTTAGGTTAGAACAGCGAGCATCATCTGATTGAGGTGTTGCACAAATATGGTGGTATGCTAGCCCCTGTCTGTTTTGAAGTGTTGCACAAATATGGTGGTATAGCTAGCGCCTGTCTGTTAAGGACTTGCAGCGTGGTATGTAAGAGGCTATGTTTCGAAAGCAATACACCCAATTACCTGTACACTCTTCATTGTGTCATTTTCATATTTACAAATTAAGATGTTCATGTACCAAGATTTTGGTATTTAGTATTGATGGCTTTCGAGTATTGACCTTGTCCACAATTTAGGTTTTCAATTGCTTGATGTGGTTGGAAAATTTTTGTTTGTTGCAGGTAATTTAGGATTAAAGAGTTGACTGGGTCCTTTTCTATGTAGTAATATCAATTTGATTATGGGGATTCACAGGACCGATTTCATAGTGTTTTATTGTTTTTGCGTTTTGGTGATATGCTCAACTGGGATGCATTTTTTCTCTTGTAGCTTGAAGAGGGATGGATAAGGGACATTGATGGGGATGTTTAGTTTTTATTGGATAGTAGAATGTTTCAGTCCTGGAAGTATGGAATTTGCATCATGGTTTAATTTGTTGATGTCCTTGTTGTCATCCATGCCTTTTGAGTTTTGAGGGTGCTTCTAAAGTTGAGAACTTAGAATTTAAACTTACTAGTAGTTTGCTTATAATTGAAATGCTTTTGACGGTGCTTATTATATTACTAGAGGAACTATTTCTTTTTCATTTCTTGTTTTAAAAAATAATTATAAACATATCACCTTATTTTCATGATATTTCTTATTATCAGAAATTACTACAAGGTGAAAGTAATTTGTTTTCGTTACTTATATTAGAATACGCAATAAAATAATGTGGTATTTTTGTAATTATTTATAACAAATGAGATAAAAGTGAAATGTATTTTTCTCAAGCAATCATGCATGACCTTAGGGTTTATCTTCTTTTTATTTGATGATCGTATGCTATTTTATAATCGCATTACGGGAACATGGCAGAAATGCAACAGTACGTGAACATTCTCAAATTTAAAAATCTGAGCTGTGTTGACATAGACGATCTTAAATTTTACTTGGAAATTTGAATACAAATATACCTTTACTTAATAAACATCCTTTAAGATTAACAATTGAAAACGTCTCTATACCAAGACAACTGAACTTATCCACAAAAATAAAAAATTAAGGATAATGGTGTTTTGAAAATGGAGAAATTGGATAAATTGAAATTTTTATGGCGCATAAAACTTCCCATGAAATAGTACTAACCTTGTCAGCTGTGAAACTACCAACACATAAAACAAACTGAATATTCTAAGACTTGTCTTAATTTGAACCTTTCTTTCTAGCATCATTGCTTGCTGGTTACAAATAAAGATATTTTTTCTTTAACATTTGCCTCGTAAACACATCGAATCACGCATCATGCTTCCACAGATGGTGCAGAGAGAAATATTATTCTTGTGATGACATGTTTTATAACACTAATAGGTCAAATAATGGTTAGTTCAACAACTAAAACAAATATTGTAATATTCAATAGAGATGAGCCCAAATGACTCTCGGTTCATCTATCTTCATAATTCCCTCCATTTTCTTTTCTTCCTTTCTACTTAGTGGTGGAGTGTTAGTGGAGCAAATTTGTTAAAGGCATGTTACTTGTTTTGTTAGGCTAAATTGAAAAGTGCTAGTTCCCAAAACTCTATGTGGTAGAGAACACACAGATTGAGGAGTTCTAAACCTAGAGAGGGAGGAATCACGATTGTTTAAATAATGTATCATCTCAGAATCGTGTCACAATTGTCTCCTTTTGTATCTCACTTGTGTCAGAGGAGTGGTGGTGTTCATTGCATCTTATCCACATATCCCATGGTCATGCTTCACTCCGCTTTGCCCTATCACCAAATATCTTTCTCATCTTCAAAAACTTAGCTTTTACATTTCTAAACTTCACTTCTCTCTTTCTTTCATTTTTTTTTTTATCTTTTTATATGTTTTTAATGCGATATTATTTTCCTATCGATTTTCCAACCAAACGATCAAAATATTTATTTCCTTTTTCTTCTTGTTTCTTTTTTTTTTCCCTGAAAATATAGTTGAATTCAATTTGCGAGGGACCATCATGATGGGAACCCGTACTTAGTATTATTATTTAACAAGCAAATGACAATATTCAAAATAAAGCATTTGAAAGTAGCATTAAAGTCAATATCTCATTCATTCCATAACAAAGCACGGGCAATTCATAAATTTCGCGATACAGTGAGAGCGAAAGAGATGATAAAAACATATGTAAGCTTGTAATTACGAGTTAATTATTTTAATAAATCATTCTAAAAAATTGATTTTTCTGGAAGAGTGTGTGAGTCACATGAAAAAAAAAAAAGAAAAAAAAAGTTGGAAAATAAATAAATAAAAATAGACAAGTACTTCCACTTCCCTGTTAAACAAATATGACCCACTGTCACTGTCCCCACAGCCCTCACTAACTTAAACTACTAATAAAAATAATTCTATAGGCATAAACCCACTCCTACTTTTCAAAAACAATTTTTATAAATAAATATTTGGAATTATAAGTAATAAACATAAACTTTGTAAAGGGATGAAGTACTATGGGTTATGATTAAATTACAAAAAAAATTATAGATTTTCCTCATTGGTCTACAAAGGGTTTATTAGGTATATAGAAAATGATTGATAGATATGAGATCTAATGAGATCTATTTGCTACTACTTTTTAATCAGGATTGTTCTCAAGTCCATGGACGGTGACATAAACATGATTTGACTCCTTTTCATTATAAAAAAACATGTATTTTTATTAATTTACATTTTTAATAACAACTAAAAAATATTTTGAAGAATGAATTAGAATAGGGTGAAGGAACATGTTATCTTATTATTATTTTGTATTCTTAAAATAATTAGATTTCTTAACAGGAGAATGGTTGCATGTTGCAGTGGACAGTGGTGATGCATTTGGAATCAAATACTTTCTTAAGTGTCGGTGCAGACTTCAGAGTACGTCGTCATGGTCATGGACGAGTTCACTTTAAAAGATGTTTCATAGTAAATAAATAAAGTAAAAAAAATAATCTATATATTTTTATTTTTTAATTTATCAAAGTATTTTTTTTAAAATAAAAAACGAATTGAAACATAAAAACAGTTTTAGAAATGAAACATTGACATTTTTAGTTTATAATCAAAAGTATAATCATATTAATTTCTAAGTTACGCGAAACTCATTAAATCATTGAAATAAATATAATCTTTTTATTAAAATTTATGTAAATTTTGTTAAATACAGAACATATTTCAATCATGTTATTCTATTTTAAATTTTTATTAATTTTGATTTATAATTTATTGATCTTCTATTTGTGCATTTTTTTTCCCTACTTGAGCAATTTAATGATAAAAATGGAACAAAAGTAAAAAGTCTATACTTAGAACTATGACATATCTTTTGTGTTTAATATTTTTGTTGTGAAACTTTTTATAATTTGACCACTTAAACAATGTATATGAATTATTGTAATTTTCTTACATATCTTAAATTTCCAACAATAAAAAATTAGCAGTATTAAGTAATGATAAAATGTGACTATTATTGATAATTCAATCCAACAATCAACAAATATAACAAAGTAGTAACATAATTTCTGATAAATTATATTTCCAATTTTTCGTAAACTTGTTTTATGTTATCAAATTAAAATAAGTGAGAATTAAAACACAGTTTAAAAGAAAAATTACAAATTAAAAAATACCCATAAATACTCGTTGATATTTGCAAATATTGAAAAAATTGTGATTCCGATAAATAGTTAGTAGCGTGTCTGCCCCACTCATTGCCACTTCTGTGCACGTACTACAATTATTTACATTTTTAATTAATATAAAATTTTGAAACCTAAGAAAAAAATGTGTGGTGGATATTTTTTTTATAACCAATCCATTAAAAAGAAAAGGAATAATAAAAAAAAATAAAGGTAAGGTAAAGACACGCGCTGAAAGAGAGAGTGGGATTGAGTGCACTCCACCAAAGAAAGAGGGTGTTTTCTTGATTCAGCACTTGAGACATAGAGGATGTGTGTGGGGTCCACCCAGGCATGTTGCACGATCCCTTCTCATTTTTTGTTCCTTCTCGTTTCTTCTCATCTCATTCTCATTCAAATATTCATCATTTTCTACGCCATTTACTCATCAATTCAATTTAATAACATTTTTATTTTCTAAATTAATATAACTTTCCCTAAGGACAAGAGAAACCTCATTCTTGTTTCTCTCTATATTGTTTATAATTATTAAAATATTTGTTCTGAAATTTTGCCTATCAATTATTATAAAAACTAAATATATAATAAAAATTTTAATATAATCTATAAATACGAAATTTGCATACACTAAACGAATAAAAGTATAATTTTGGAAGTTGATATGTGATGGTATTACATATTTGTTAATAATTAATAAAATGATTTAGTTAAATATTGTGTGAATAGTGAGGGTAGTGGTTTGTGGAGAATGTGGGGCTTTGTTTCCATTTAGTGTGTAGAAACTGAAAAATAAAAGCACTACTTATTATGTGTTGCTTTATTTGGTTTAGGGTCTAGAAAGGCAGGGAAGGCATGGCTTCTCTTATTCTTATTATTATTATTATTATTATTATTATTATTATTATTATTATTATTATTATTATTATTATTATTATTATTATTATTATTATTATTATTATTATTATTATTATTATTATTATTATTATTATTATTATTATTATTATTATAGTTATTCTTGTTGTCAACCATTTCTCACCTAACACTTTTGCTCTCCATCTTTTATTATTGCTTTTATTTATTATTTCCATCTATTCTAACAATAATTTATTATTAAATTATCTTATCAATTAATGAGAAATTTATATATGTTATAATAATATTATTAGAGTTTATTATTATATTTAAAGTATTA